AGCGGCCATCGGGAGTTTCCGGAAACAGGGCGTCGACGGTAGAGTGGAAGGGACAACAGGAACGTGTTTAGCCCAATTTCTTTTATTTTAATTGTGAAATAAATAATCTATGATTATCATCTTTTCCTTCATTAAATGATATTAATATGAGCCATTAAATTTAAATGAGATTGAAGGGTGGAGATTCACTTAGTTACATGACTAAGAGATCCCCCTAGTCACCTGATATTGGCCCCTAGGCGGGGCGCGGTTTTCTATGCAAACCGCTGGGCTAAGAGGCGGTTATAAAAATCGTTGGGTGGGGCGGCGGTTTTGGGCCAAACCGCCACCCCACCCAGTGGTTTGGTCCAATTTTTTTTTTACCGATCAATTCCTAACATCGGCCGAAACTTCAAACGAACATAACTTTACACTCGGTTATCCGATCGTAGCGATTTTTTTTGAATCCGAATAACTTTTCGAGATCTTGCAAGCCGCAAACAGCCGTAGGTGGTTGGGTCCCGCCTTCATCTCGAAAAAACGTCATTTGCTACTCCGAACAAGCCTTTTTTTATTTCGACAAACTTTGGGCGACCTTAACTTTGTGCTCCAAAATCCGAACGTCATGATTTTTTTTTATTCCGCATAACTTTTCAAGATTTCCAAGTTTTAACATAATCATAATTTCGAAATGTACATGGATTTGTGAAAAGTAAAGGCAAAGTTATTCCCAAGGTCCCGTATATCCACAACTAATTCCTGTTTTGAAAATTTCATCCTAGTAAAATTTGTAGATCTCAAAAAGTTATTCGGATTAAAAAAAAATCGCTACGATCGGATACCCGAGTGCAATGTTACGTTCATTTGAAGTTTCGGCCGAAGTTAGGAGTTGATTGGAAAAAATAAAATTTGGACCAAACCAAACCGCTGGGTGGGGTGGCGGTTTGGCCCAAAACCGCCGCCCCCCAACGGTTTTTATAGGTTCTTATAACCGCCCCTTAGCCCACCAGTTTTCATAGAAAACCGCGCCCCCTCCCAGCGGTTTTCGTGTAAACTGCACGGTGGGGCGGCGGTTTTTGAAAAAGGTTGATATTTTTGGAATTTTTTGGGATTGGATGGTATTTTTGGAATTCTTTTTTTAAACAGGGGTATTTCTGAAAAAAAGGCTTGGTATCACTTTTATTTTTAACTCGAATTTAAGAAAAAAAAATTATCAAAAGAAATGAGATCATTGTGATCAATTAGATATAAAAATTTCTGGACAAAAAAACCCACCATGTACCCCCTGGTATAGGGTGGTAACTGGTGGTAGACAATAATGAAATGTGTTAAATGACAGTTCATATATTTCTACTACCATGTATACAACTAATATACACTATAACATATTCATATCATTCTTGTACACTTCTATATACATGGTATAACTTAGGGTTGGCTATTTGGTCCCGGCCTTTTGGTTTTACCTGAAATCGGACCATATAACCCGGACCGGATAGTAAACAATCCAATCCAATCTTCGGGCCTAGATTTAAGGTAAAAATCGTTGGGACCGTACCGAAAATCGGATAAAGACCGGATAAGAGAGCCCAACATCCAAAATTTAACCTCCTCACCCTTTCAGAGCTTAGGCCACTCAAATCCCCACAAGCTCAATCTAAAAGCAAGACCAAATTGGGACCAGACCGGATCAAGACCGGACTGGATCCAAACCAATCTTTGGTTCTTATATTCTCGAAAAAATCGAACTGAAATTGGATTAATTCAACCCAATTTAACCGAACCGGACTGTATAGTAACTTTCATTAAAGCAGAATATAAGAAAGATACAGTCGTTGTGCAGCTTTCATACATGTTTGGAATTTATAACCAATACCATCAAACTTGACGATCACTCCTTTGAACTCCATGGCTACCTGACATTTGTTTTTTTTACGAAATGGCTACCTGATTATTGATATCTTCCACCTCCCTCCACTACTGTAACCACGTGTTGAGAAAGTACTTGCAGGTCACCAAAATTAGATGATAGTGGCACAGCTTAGAGAAACTCTTATGCAACAGTAATCTACTTATAACTTTAATAATACTTGTGGATTTGTCAAATGTTTAGATTTCACTTAAATCCATGAATTCAATCCACCATAACATAAAAATATAAATTTAGTTTGTATAATACAAGATGTTGTATCACTCAACTGTAGGAGAATATTCGATCATTTTATATTTGCTCATTACGTGAAATATTAAATAAATGATAAAAGAGAGACGACTCTAAATTATTGCAAGAGCGAATTAATAAACTCATTTAGTACATTTACGAGGGTACTAAACAAACTTCTACTAACTACATGTAACAAAATATGTCAGACCTATATAAGCAAGTGTCAATAAATTGCTATGGTGAAAAGGGTTGACTGTTGTATTGACGACCAACTAAAAGATTTAGTTAAAACATTTCTATCATCTACTTACTCTTAGTTTCATTTTTCACTCGCCTTCCATAACCATTTCTTTATTTCTTTCTTTGCCTTCTTCGTCTAACCCTAATTAGTATACCATTTTTATGTATGCTAATCATAAGTATGAACGGGTTCATACACGACTCACAACAATATAGAGAATTAATAATTGAACCATGAATCACCAACTTTTTTCAGCTCAATATTGAGTCATTTCAAAATAAATATATATGATTATTACCTATTAGAAAGTCGTCATTTTTTATAATGGGATTTGAAGGCATGAAATTTTAAGTGAGTTCCAGTTTGTATTCTTTTTGCTCCTCTCTAGAGTTTTTATGTTCCACCCAGGCTTGAATTTTCAACAATTATACATGGAATATTTGGTTAGGTATCTACACATATCAAATAAATAATTTTCATTTTTCTATAAAAAAGATTATCATCTTAATACATCACCATAAAAGGAATTAAGCCTCAACTATGCAAATTACAGTTCGGTACCTAAACTTAATAGATCTTTAGATTTATAACCACAATTTATTTTTTGGACATATAAGTCCTCAAAATATTGATGGATCATTATATTTTAGTACCTAAATTTTTTGTGTAATGCATTTTAGTACCTTAACTTTTTAAGTTATACAAATCGGTCTAATTTTTGTATGTGTCATTAAAACACCCACAAATAAATGAGTATCCATACCCAACTCATACACATTTAGATTATGGAAGTAAATATCCATACGCTACCCAAACCCATCTATAAACTTCCAAACCCATATATACGTCACTCATACTCTACCCAAAATCAATGAGTCTACTTGGGTTTAGGTAAATACATTTATTAGTCAAAATTTTCAATAAATTTTAAGTTGGATGTTGACAGTTATATATCTCTTCTCAGTCAATATCATATTGTCAAGTCAATGTTACTAACAAAATTGTTAACAAAAAAATTAATTTTAGGCTAATAATACTAGCAAAACACCATAACGGGCCACATAATACATGCCCATAGGCCATCTCCGGCCCGCGACAAAGTGCTGTATCGCCACCTAGTATCCATATATAGTTCATTTTGTATCTCACAATGAAAATCATATGCTTTCACCTTCATCAGGCTGAAATACTTTGGATCATAAGTAGCTATCCCATTGTTTCGTAAATGATATATTTTTCCTATCTATATGATGAAGTATGTGGTATTTCATTGTTGTCTCCAACAACCACTTAGATGCCTAATTCCATTTGCGCAAATGCTTCATGCAGGTGTGGTGAAACAATCACTGGCAATCAAATTTCTACCATGCTCACCATGTGTGATCTTCTAATTACAGCTTGAAGCCCAAGAATATTTAATGAAACTATGCAGCTCTTTGAATTCTGGAATTGTACTGATTGGTTCGTGTTCTTCCCATGTTCGGTTTTCACGTCTATCGACGCAAAAATATGGTTTTAATTGGTTGGACTCGAACCTAATGGTTGCTTATGTACCCGAGTTAATCGGGATCAAAGTTCACGTAGTTCGATTTAAAAATGAGATATTTGATATGTTGAGTCTCACACGTGAAATGTGGAGAAACATTGTTGGTTGGACTTGAAACCTATTGGTTGGCTACGTACCCGAGTAGTCGGGATCAAAGTCCACGTAGTTCAGTTAAATTGATAGGGTTTTTTATGAAATGATTTTAAACACGATCAAGATGATTTGAGTTGTTAGGAAATGGAATTATGATTTATCAATTTAGTGATAGAATGTTAGATCGCCTTTTGGAAGAATTTCATCGAGAACGACTTTCACAGCCTATTAACTATGATTTCGTATTAAGAAAATCACTAAGTAAAATAAATATGTGTATGCAAAATGAAACCAAATTTAATCAAAGTTTTAACATTTTGATATACCGAGAAGTAATCGTAACTTGGCCAATGCAAAAGTCTTGACATGATTAGTCAATATAAATTTTGCTTATTAAGCTTACGGTAAAATAATTAGTAGCGAAAGAATTAAGGTGTCAAGAAAACATTGTAGTCTGAGTTGTTATATACTTCATTATGACTTTGTGGGCTGAGGCCTCGGGTTCGAGTAACTCTGGAGGTTATATTTTGTTTGTCTTTTTTGCAGAAGGAAAGTGGCAGCGGGTTATTTCATGGAAACTGAAAGGGCAATTTAGTCATTTCTGAATCCGGGTTTCAATACCTTCTGAGAGCATCTCCATTGGAATTGCAATTAAAATTGCATTATGACATGGCATTCATTTGCAATTGCATTATGCAATTGCATTGATGTAGATGCAATTGCATCTTTGCAAGCTTGCATATAATGCAATTATGGAATGCAAGCTACATCATCTTTTTTTATATTAAATTATTCATTAATTTTATTATTTGAGTGTTCATGTTTTAATAAATTAAATCAAAAAAAGTAGTTGTAATTGCAAGTTAATTGCATTGATGTGGTGCAATGCAAGTAAGATGAGTTGGATTGAAAAAAAATGAAGTAACAATAAAAAAAACAAATGCAATTGCAAATGCCATTGCACCAATGGAGATGCTCTGAGGCCTCAGCACAGAGCCGAACCCTAGCTCCCAAAGACAGCCGCCCAAACTCGCCTCTCTCTCTCTCCTTCTCGTTTTCTCTGGAATACAAACGAAACAGAGAAACAAAAACAATCCAATCCTAATCACCCCCTTCTCGTTTTCTTCTCACGACGAACAAAATGAAACCCTAGCCTTCCTTTCTAAAAACGATCCTCTCTTTCTCCATCTCGATCCACCTCCCTCCTTCTCTCGCCCTCTATAACGATGAGATGGAAGTGACCACTTCCTCACCGATGAAGGCGACGGCGGGAGCAAGATCGGCGACAAAGATATTGACGACATTGACGGCCGGAGGTAAGTACCTGACCGTTGCATGTTGATTTTTTAGCGTTTTGTTTGGGATTTTCGGAGATTTTATTAGGTTCTGACCTCTCTCTGTGTTTCGATTTTTGGTGGGTTTTGAGTTCAATTCGCTTTCTGATTTTTTTTTGTTTTTGGGTTTTTGGTGGAAGTTGCGGGCAGAAGTGGAAAGATGGCAGTCTCCGGTGGTGGAAATGAAGCAGCTTCCGACCGGCGACGAGGAGGGATCAACTTCCGACAGGAAGTTTTAGGTGGGTTTTTGGCCTTTTGTATTGATTCATTTTTCTCTGGTCTTGGTCAATCCTGACCTTCTATTTTGTGTTTTTTTTAGGATCGGGTGTGCCGCAAGGAAGGATGGGGTCATTGAAGACAGGGGATAGGAAACCGGCGGCGACAGAGGCGAAGACTCTCTGGTCGCCGCGATGACCAGTCCAATGGAGATAGCGGGTTCTAATAGGTAAGGCGTGTTGTTTGGGGTTTTAGAGATCTAGGATTATATGTTTTAAAGTCTCAAAAGGTGGATTTTGTTAAAATTCCCAGAATTGGTTCATACAAAGAAAATCATAAGTGGAGAAATTTACATGTTAATCAACTGTAAAAATTGCTACTGCCTGTGATTAGGAAGTCTCAATATCGTATGTTCATGGTGGACTTGAACTATTTCGAGCCTGGACGTGGTTTTGTCAAGATGTTGATTCGGGTTTAGGGGTCATGCTTAGTTAGTGATAATATGATTTTTTGGATTGAATAGGTCGGTTTTTCTGAAATCTGGGATTTGGGTTGGGGTGTTCTCAGAAATGGAAACTGTGGGTTGTGATTGAATCTTGAAACCTGCTCGTTTATGGTTGGAAATCAGTGTGTGTATGATGGTTTGTGGTTTTAAAGGGGTTTAGAATCTGGAAATTCTGTATACTTGTTTGGGGGTATTGATTCTGGGAATTCGGTTATGGTATGTTTATATTGGTTTTGGAACTGGAATTTTGTGGTGTGTGTTTAGTGGTTTTAACTGCTTGTGCTTATGTATGTAGTGAACAAAAGATTTCACTACCATCTGTACATACTTAGATAAAAAAAAGGGCAGCTTAATAGATCCACTACCATCTCTACATATTTGGGATAAAAAGGTAACATAACAAGAGTTTAAACGAGGTGATAGATGAAACATATAGTTATATAGTATTAACAAATTCAGAAAGCTAACTTGAATGGAAATACATGTATGCTATCTAGTTTATAGAGATAAAATATGAGATGGAAATAAGTACAAGGATGATAACTATATTAAGTAATTGGATTACAATGATGTGAAATGCTTAAAAGGGAAAGAGATTCAAACTTTGATTCATGTTAAAGTGTTTAGATCGACTTGTAATTTGTTTGGAGGTAATAAGTTGTGATTTCCTCTTAAAACTCTTTCTTTAAGAAAGGTAGAAATGAGACGATATGGTGATAATCGATGATTATGCGTTACCAACCTTTCTTTCTATTGCTTGGTGAAGGATTTGCCCTTTGTTGAAGTCTCCCCTAAAAGATAATATTCTTAATATGCCTATTCGTTTTTGTTGTTTGTGATGAAGAGGAAAGGGAAAGATTGTTTTCTATATTTTCTGTTTGTAAGAAAAGGAAAAGTAGAGGAAGAAGAAAGTTGTCTGTGTTTTTCTAGGAGAAGGAAATCTAAAAAAGAACCAAGAAGTTGATCCCCCACTCTCTTTTCTGTCTGTTTTTGGTTGCTAGGATTGTGTTTGTATTGTTATTGAGTATCTTTCCTCTTGTGCTTCTAACGAAGAAAGAAAATGATGATTTTTCAAGGTCTTTACTCCTTTTTTGTCTGGTTTATCTGTGTTTGTTTAGAAAGGGCGATGGAGGCGTTGAGGAAGAAGAGGAAGAAGGAGAGGAAGAAGGAAGAAATCTGGTCGTGGGGGAGCATAAGGGAAGATGTTCTGGTTTTTGCTGTTTTTGTCTGTCTTTTTGGGGAGGGGAAATGAAGCTGTCCAGGACGAAGAAGAAGACGCAGGTTTGGTTCCCCTGCTCGTGGCCGTGGGGAAGAAGAAGAAGAAGAAGAATTGGCCAGAATAATGAAGGGGAAGAAGAATTCAGAAACTCCGCCCTCAAGAAAGAGCCAAGGTGTGTTTTTTATAGAGAAAGACAGCTTGTTCCCCAAGTTTGGAACAGTGCTGGGTTTGGGTCGGACCTGTCTGAGTTGGTCGGACCGATATGGGTTTGGTCAGACCTGTTCTCTGACCAGTTCGACTTTGTTGACTAGTGTGACTGTAGACTTTGACTTTTTGGTGGGCTTTGATTTGGGCCAAATTCCTTTATTCTTTAATTGTACCGTGCAATACAATTACAATTTAGCAATCTAATTAATTGTAATTAGCATTGCATTTATTTTGAAGAGATCGTTATGACTTCGTTTTATTGTTTAGGAAATTCAGACCCAATTTCACTAGACTCACAAAAATCATATTCATGTCTAACAACACGTTAATTCTATCAAATTGTACCAAGCAAGATTTGCTATTGCTAATCTCAGTCGAGGCAAAGTGACGACCTTTTGCAAATACTATAAATACGTTTTTGGCTAGAAATTTGCTATTGCAAATCTCAAACAAAAACTAAATTTTATTTTGTTAAATATATTTTTAACCGGACAAAAACTGGTGTCTACAATTGGGATCAACTGGTTCTTGACAAAAACAACAACTCTGTTTCTGGCGTAAGGGAACTTCCCTGTTTCTAGCGTGATAATTATTGCACTGTTTATTTTTTAATTTATTGTGATAATGAGGTGGAATTTTAAAAGATTAAAATTTATTTCATTTTTTATTGTCACGTCACTTATTTAACGGTCAATCTCAGAGTTGACTATCACATCAGCTAAACTTAACGGCGAATAACGGCGAGTGACCAAACTTGAACTGCTAACTAATTTTAGTGACAAACGTGAACTTTTTAAGTAATTTTAGTGACCAAATTTGCAATTTACCCATACATGATCAATACTTAGAGAATACAGAGAAATTATATTTGCAATTTACCCATACATGATCAATATTTTTAAAAGTTGAATAGCATGTAACAAAATAAATTCTTGGTCGAAAGTTGATGCATAATAAGTTATACTTCAGTCAAAATGGCATTTTATATACTCATGTAATTGCGGTATATCGTACCCATGCCTTAATCAACAGTATAATTTATAGCTGAAAAGTAAAACTGCACCCCCCATTCAAAATTTCCTGCCCATAGAGTGATTTTAGGAAGCTGATGTGGCAGAGTGTTAAGCGGGGAAAAAAAAGGAGTCCCGCCTGATTTCAGAACCAAAAAACTCTCCACTACCCACTTTTTTCTCCTTCCAAGCCCACGTTCTCATTTAATTTGTATAAAAAACTCTCCACTACCCACTTTTTTCTCCCTCCAGGCCCACGTTCTCATTTAATTTGTATTAATTTGTATTTTTTAGTTCCGATTTCCCTTCCTTCCACTCTTTCACCTCATTCGAATAAGTTTCTTGGCCTTCAGAAAACCAAACCTTGACTCAATCATCTGGTTCTTTTATGTGCTTGCATCTACCTGTGATTCCCGTTCTCTAAGCGTTAGATCGGTATTGGTTTTGCTGTAAGTTATTCCTCCTCTTTCAGATTTCTGTTTGTTGTTGTCGCTGCTTTTAAGTTTTAGGGATTCGGGTTCTGGGTTTTTTTCCCCAGAGATTCGGTTGCAAAGATTCATCTCCCTTACCTTTGATTCATTCCGTTTTCTTTATTCTCTCTTACCTTCCTCGCTTCATTCTGTTGATTGGATTCTCTAGAGATCAAAAGGGGATTTTTGATTTTTCCCTTTCTCTTGAAAGTAACAAAGCTGCTTACTTTAAATTCCACTTCGCTTAGACTGTCTTCCAGAGAGCAGCCGACTGCCGATTTTGAGCTGAGTTTTTCCGGGCCGCAGAGAAAGAAGAGGAAAGAAAGAGACGTTCGGCGGCGGCAGCCAGGTACTTCGTCCGGGTCGTTTTCCGGGTTGTTTTTCCCGCTTAACACTCTGCCACATCAATTTAAATTATGGTTTACATTGTTGTCCTTCTCGCTCTTCCTTTGCATCCCCAAGCTTGGAAGCCATTCTGTTATATGTGTTTTGTTCATCAATTTAAATTATGCCTTATACAGTTATATTTTTCTTCGACTGTGATGTTTGTGTGGTGTGTTGTATGTGTCATTAACTCGCACAAACTTATAATTGGTGAGAAGTTCAACTTCTGTTGTAACAATTAATTAATTTATATGAATGGCAGCTGCAAAATTTATTGGAACGGGTGCATCATTTACCACGACCTCTATTTCAGATTGCATCAGGTTATTGGAGAATTTAATATGGATAGTGCAAATGTCATCCCATCTGCCCAACCACAGATTTATCGATCGTCTGTACCATGTGAGTGTCATGGTTTAGCACGCAACTGCTTCAATGCAAACTGACATTAATATTTTCCCTTGAATCTCATTTGTTTAGGGAAACGTCGAGCAGTGTTTATTCATCCTGAAGATCAGTACCAACGCTGTGTTTTATCTGCTGAAGAGGAAGAAGCATTTGAGAGAGGTGTGTTATCTGTGTTTTAATTTTTCTAATTAGTTCATCTATTCAATGAGTAATACATGGTTTTATATTTAAATTCTGCAGAAGAAGCTGCCTTACAATTCCAACTCTCTCAACTTCGGCGAATACTATCCCAAGTCACCCGTAAGAGAAGACATCATATTTTGAAACAGAAGGTTCATAGGAGGGGCTTGCCTTTTGAACACCAAGGTTGTTGTTTGATAAATTTTGTAGCAAGTCTTACAAATTAGGCTATTCTAGATTGTTGAATCTTTATTATTTCTTTAATATCGTATGTGTTTTGGTGTTGTTCATAGTTTTGGAGCCGGAGTTTAGATTTCTATTACAAAAGCAAAGTCGATTGAGTAGCTAATTCGTATGCATTTGGTTATCATGTCCTTGAATGGTAACATTTTTCGTGATGGAGTAGATGCTGCCCTTTGTTTCTTTTCACAATGACTAGGTTCAGAATACGGAGTCTTTCACAAAACATAATTTTATTATCCAATTAGCACAATTAATTAAATTTTTGTTTACTCATTTGGAACAGTAAAACGTTGTTTGAAGATACATGTTAATAAGATAAGCTGTATCACTTCAATTATGGTCATCATGTTTTGTAAATTAATAACAGTTCTTATCACTGTAATTTTATTTACTCATGTGTTTGTGGTTTTATTGTTAAATGGATGTTAGGAGGTTATTCGTTTTCTTCCTCACGAGCAACTAAAATGTATCTCAACATCCATTGCCCTCACTTGCATCCTTTGTTAAACCAGTAAGCTTCATAAACCTCTATTTTTGAAACTTTAAATTCTAATGTGTGTGGTATCTGTTGATAGTGGTAATTCTGGTTAATTTATTATCAGGGAAGATGGACCCCAATTTGGATCTAACTATATTGTTGGACCATTGCTATACGAGGAAGCTCTCGACATATCTGAGCACACCACAGTTCCACAGCTTAATATGATAAAGTTAAGTCTGTATAGTACGGTAAGTCACTCAAACTCAACTAAACACCTATTTTTTTAAAACACAGTCATTACCCAATTCAACATTTGCTTCATTTTCGTCATCAATAACCCATGTGTCTGTTTTAGGGGACGGTATACATCTTGACGGGAAAACTAAAAGCCATTGGAATTTCAACTTTGGCGCACTCTATGGTCAGTGTTGTGCATTTCACCATCAATGATGTAACTGAGGAGCTGGAAGTTGTGTTTCCCTCTGTCAACCTTAGACGCATTGTTGGTGATGTGGTTGCGGAGACAAATATCGATTGGGACACTAACATCATCGCCATTCTCAACTGCATTGATTTGAAGTATTACCAGTTTGTCATTGAAGTTGGCGCGTGGAACTGCATGGTCCGTCACTGTGATTTGGTTTTGCTGAAGATGTTCTCTGCTGCCTTTTAAGGATGGAGTGCTTTTAATGAATTCCTGGTCTGTGTTCCTAAATATCAACTACACTCAAACATATAATAGGAAGTGGTTGGCTAGGCATTTCTCATCATTCGGCTCTATTTACTACCTCCACCGTACTTTTTTACTGTTATTTGTGATGATAAGATTGTTGGAGCTTAGCCTTTTAGTTTCATGGTTTTGTTTTAAAGCACCCAGTGTGCAAGAGATTAGCTGTAATTGATTTCCTCAACTTTGTTTATAATGGAGAATCACTTATGTATTTGGATTGGTTTGCTGCTGTTTTACAAGATGGTAGTTAAGCAGATAGGGTGTCAGAACTTATGCGCATATGAACCAGGAAATATTGTCCGGTTTGTGTTATGCACTTGATTATTTTTTTTAGTCCTGGTTATGATCCAATGTGAATTATTTGTATAAGAAACATATTTTTCCAGAATTTAGTTACAATCTAACAAATATCATCAACTTTTAACTATTACATTCACAAAATGAAAAACAAAATTATTTTTTTTATTAATTACATTAATTATGATATCACTTTGCTTATGGAGAATTTAACTATTATCACACTTGATTTGCGAGATTTTCTTCTCATTTACCTACAATAATTATTTTATAAATTAACCTATATAAAAGGATTTAAATTCATTCAGTAGTGACTCGAGATTAATTAATTAGTGATACTTTAAGCATGGTTCAGTTTTGTTTTTTTTAAGAAACCTGATTTCATTATGAAATCGGAAAATGATAAAGAGTTGGACCATGATCCTTGAAAGATAGAAGTATAAAAAAATCGTAAAGTTGAGCCCACCCAAAACACAAAATGAAAGCTCACCCACAAATACATAAATTAGAAAAAAACACAAGAGAAAAACTCCAAAGCCCACCCCAACACCCACGGTAACCCAACCCAGAAAAAACCCAAACACACCAAACACAACAACCCAGCCCACAAAACAACCCAAGCATGGTTCAGTTAAATAAAATATAGTTAGAGAGGGAATGCCCAGCCGGATTTGTTGAAACTAAATGGCCAACCTATTCCCATAAAAAAAAAGGCCAACCTACACTACCTTGGGCGGATCCTTCTCCACTCCCCCACTCCCCCACCTCCTCTACTGCCCAGTATCCGATTTTTTTGGATCTTCTATGAGGTGAAGGCTGCCGCATTCCAAGCCATTATTTCTTTATTAAATACATTCATTATGATTTTCATTTCATGTTAATTAGTGGTGGTGTGGGCCGGGCCGGCCGGGTTGGCGTATCAAATAATAATTAGCAACTTTGAGAGGCAATTTTGGACAAGAATTGTTGACACAGTCGCAATTAGCAATGTTGTT